TATATATATATATATATATATATATATATATATATATATATATATATATATATATATATATATATATGAATGTAATTGAAAACTATTATCATGTCATTTGGTCTGCTGGTTTATTAGTGTGTCTGCATATGGCACGGTGATGCTTCCCTTTTGGTTTTGGATGGACCCATGCTTTTTTTTTTTGGTTTTATTTGTTTTTACATATTCTTGTGTGTGCTTGTGTGTGTGGTGTGTAGGTGAGCGGCGGCGTAAGGCTGTGTGTGTTCGTAAAAGTGATCACCTGGTGGTTTCGGAGCAGAGGTGTGAATACCTGCCTCGACCCAGAGGAACCATGGAGCCCTGCAATACTGACTGTGAACTCAGGTAAACGCTGACGCACACAATGCTGATTGGTTAAAAGTTAAACTCTTAGCACAACTTCTGCAAGCACCGAATTAAGATCCAAAAATGCTTATTTGAGTTGTTTTTATTTTTGCTGTTTTAGGTTTTTAATTGGGTAACTAATATTTAAAGCAAACTAAAACGAAAACTTAACTCCAACAGCATAAAATGTATGTATATTTTAAAAATAAACACTTTATAAAATGTAAATATGTAACTTTTATTAGTTTTTATTTTAGTATTAGTTATTTTTGTGTACTTTTTTTGAGAATTTGTCTTGATTTTGGGAATGTAATATTCATATTTAAATAACTTGAATATAATGTATACCTGTACATTTATCAGAAGTTTTAGAAAATGTTTTAAAAGTTGTGTTAGACTGTTTTCAGGGAATGTCTTAAAACATTAAGTCTTATAAATATGTTATATTATTAAATGTTAACAATGTAACAAAAATGGAAAAAATATTTAATATTCAAGTTTAAAAAATCATCAAACTCTGTTTTAATGTTTTTTTTATTTGTCAGGTGGCATGTGGCAGGCAGAAGCGAGTGCTCCAGTAAGTGTGGTCCGGGTTACCGTACGGTTGACGTGTTGTGTCTGCGCTACAGTCTGAATAAGAGGCAGAGTGACCGTGTGGAGAGCAGATCCTGCGCAGAACTGAACAAACCACAGAGCAGAGAGGGATGCCATGGAGACTGTCTGCAGAAGAGCTGGCAGTACAGCAGCTGGACTCAGGTTACACACACACACACACACACAACACACACACACACACACACACACACACACACACACACTCACATACGTACAACTCTTTGAAACTACCACTTTTAAGCTTTGATCCAAATTGTGGTGTTTTGGTGACTGTCGCTTTAAATTCAAATGAGACAGTGCTCTTTTCAGAAGAGGGTGGAGCTACAATAGCGTCAGATGTACAGCAGCACTAGCTGTGTTGTCAGTGCTGGTCAGGTCTGCATGTTATTGCTGGTCAGTGTGTGTTAATGCTTCTGTCAGTCTATGTCGCTCCTGTCACTGTTCATCTAAAACTCCACATCTGTAATCCTCTTAGTCTATGCTGACATGATCTTCAGCAGCTCAAACACTCCAATGGTTAATGGACAGACGGCTGCTTCTCACTCAGGGCTGCTGGACATGCTAATGAGATGGAGTGATTGGCAATAGTGGGCGGGGCTTTCCCCTCTTTAATGACACCCATACAAAGGGAAGCAGAACAGAGCAAAATCTCAGAAGTGTCCTCCTCATTTAAAGCAGTGTTATTGTGTTTTTAGTGCTCCAAGACCTGTGGCCGTGGCGTGCGTACGCGTCAGGCGATCTGCATGAATAATCTGGGTCGTCGGCTGGTGGAGCGCGAGTGTGAAACACAGCAGAAAGTCCTGAGCGAACCCTGCAGTGATGTACCCTGTCCCGACTGGACCGCCAGTACATGGAGTGAGGTACTGACACAATGATGATCAACTGTTACACCGCAGTGTTGGGGAAGCTGCTTTAATAGTGTTTAATTACTGAACACATCATTAAATTTTGATCTAAATAGCCTTTCTTCCTGCTTTGTCAGTAATTTAATTACTTGACTCAATACTACTAAATCACAATGCATAGTCTGTGTGTGTTGATACACCAATACCGTGATTTTGTTTAGTTCATGGTATTGGACCCATGGTACAGTATGGGACATTTTCATTTGCTATGAAATTAGGTTTTATTAAGTTTCATTGCATTTGTTCCATTTCGTCGTGTTCCATTTTGTCGCATTTCATTGCTTTTTCGTCACATTCCATTTAATCACTTTGCATTTTGTTCCATTTCATCACGTTTCATTTCATTGCATTACATTTCATCACATCCGATTTTATTCATTTTTGTTCCATCCGTTGCGTTCCATTTCATTCGTGGTGTTTCATTTCTTTATATTTCATTGAGTTTCTTTCTGTTTTATTCATTCCGTCCCATTTCATCACGTTTCATTTCGTTGCAATACATTTCATCACGTTTCATTTCATTGCAATACATTTCATC